CCCATAAGTTTATAAATGATCTTCAAAGGCTCAAATGAGCAAACGGTGGCCACATGATGGGATCACAACAAGTATAAGGTGACATGTAAACGTGTTCAAGATAGTACGAAGAAAGGGATTAATATGTGAGAATGCATCACAACTCTAATGACGTCAACATTTGTAGGGATAGGTCGCGCTTAATAAAACAAACCAAACCCATGTTTTGCCGAAGAAAATAGTTGCTAGTGGTGATGACATATAGTGACAAACGATGTCGAAATGTAATGCAAAATTTAAAGATAGTAAAAAGATATGTAGGAAAGAATTATGATAATAAAACACCAAAATCAAAATAAAATACTTAATAGTATCATATAAATTTAATTTTAAAGATTTAAGTGAAAAATCTCATCCATTCATTTAAAATACTTAATTTTTGTTATATTTTTAATTGAGCTTATAAATACACAATACATTAAGAAGAGAAAAAAATAAGAAGAAGAAAAGTGAAAGAGAAGTGAATAGGAAACGGAAAGAAACAGTTGGACAAGAGGTCAACAAGTGAAATGATGAGTTTTGCGGGATGGTGGAGATTGTCTTGTCAGATTTGAATCCCCTTGCTCCATAATCCAAATGCAGTGACAAAAGCTGGAACAAGACAAAATCGTGACAGAGACGATAGCATTGTTCTCGTTCCTAAGTCGCAGACCGCGAAAGAAAGTGAGTGAGAGAATTCTTATCTAAGAAGAATAAGGAAACGTTATCTTTGTTTATTGTGCCGTGATGTCTCATAGTGGTTTGCATGTCTTGGACAAGTTTAATATTTGTATTGATAATGTACTTCAAGTTCTGCACATACAAGACATGACACGTACATATTGGTATTATATAAAATTTTTATTATCAATTTTAGTTGGTATAAGGAGTAGTATTAAATTTGTGGTTCTAATAATTTTAGACATATAACAAAATATGTTATGAGAGAAATATATATTTATAATTTTCAATAAAAGTTAGTCACAATTTTTAGTCTTTCCAAGATGACCTCACTTTTTTTTGTACTTAATTATAAATAATAGATTTTATTAGTAAAGAAAATTATACAATTGAATTACAGCACATTATTGTGAAATTAAAATATCATTGATTCTAAGGAAACATTATATAAGTAGATCATGCAACATCAAAAGTGTCTTACAAGATTTATATACTAGCTATCCACATAGTAAGTTTTTCAAAAGACTTCCTTGTTAAGCTAACATCATAAGTATATATACAAACAAAAGATCGTAGATTACCCCACTGTATACCGTTAAAGAAAAGCTACGTTTGTCAAGGAAATCACACAATCTGAGACTACTTATTTATCCTATCTTTAAACATTATTAAATGAGTAACTAGTCACCTGGAATCCTTCTCAGGTAGAATTGCATAAGCTATTTTGTTTGAGTTCAAATTGAAGCATAAGCTATTTTAGTAGAGTTTGAAACACTCCATGTTATGAAGGTTCAACTTTTGCGTCTGATGGATTTATGAGAATCTTTGCATATAAAATTTTCCTACCTTTTTCCCTAACTAATTTTCTACATATTTTTTTTCAAGTTTATTTATATTAAATTTTCACCGGCAGTTAATCAAAATATTTTTTCGAAAATTGTTTCTAAATCTTTCCATCAACCCAAAGCTAATCTATTAAATGATAAGGGTGCCTCTTCATCTGCCCCAGACAATGGACACGACATATATATAAGCATGCTCAAGAATCAACATTATATGTTTCATGCGTTTGCTATACTTTTAAATGCAAAACCAGAAGGAGCAATTAATTGCTAGATCTGAACAAGATATGTCTGCCCCAAGTACAAAGACTTGGAAAGTAGGGTTCAATACGTAAAAAAGGCAACCAATAAAAGTATGAGTAAGAGCGTGACACTGTTTACCCCGCCCCCACCCCCCGCCACCCATGTAATTTGACGTCTACTATGGAAGAGAAAAAAGAATATTAAGATCAAATAATAAATTAGGAGAAAGAAAAGAAACAAGCATAAATAAGATATAGAAGAAAAAGACAACACACAAGGTATTTTTTTAAAAGAAAAATTACAAGTTAGATGTTTTTGTGACAATCTTTTGAATTGTACGAGTTTCAAAAAAAAAATATATCAACTTGATGTGAGAATAATTATTTTGGATTCAATGGTATATCTTGATCACATTGATTAATATGTTTGCATTGGTTGTTCTAATTGTCTAAATAGATTAATTGTCTAACATGCATGATAATAAACAAAGCATAAGAGTATAGGCTTTTTCAAAGATTATTGAAGTCACCAACGTTTTACTTTTCCAAAATAAATTAAAAAAAAAATCAATATGGGTGTTTTCTAAGCTCCTATAAAAGTTTTAAGAGAAGTCAAAGTCAATATAAAACCAAAGTGAACAAATATCAATGAGTTTTTCTTTTCTTTTCAATTTTGTAAACTCTTAGAAATTTCTCTAAGCACTTAGGCTTTTTACTTGTATATTTGTCTGTTAGAACAATAGTCTGTCATTACCCTTTAAGCATTTTTCTTTCGTAAATTGCTTATAAGTTGAAGAGACTTAGTGAAGAAAGAATATTCTGTGTAATTTCTCGAAGAGGTAAAGTAGAAAATAATATTTGCATGAGCTTGAGAAAGCTTGGTGGAAAATTACTTGTAATAGTTTAAAATTTGTTTAGTGAAAGTCTTTGTGGTTGTCATGATTTAGATGCAGACTATAGATTAAGATAAACCGGTATAAATCTTTTGTGCACATTCTCTCTTTTCTCTTTTTTTTTTTTTTTTTAGTTTGATCAACTAACTCAAGGGTTAAAAATGTAATATATAATCTTTTAGTTTTATAACTCGGCTGTTTTAAGAAAATAGATTTAGTTACCAAAAAACGAAAATAGATTTTAAGTTAGGACAAAATATTTGCTTAACAAAGAAAATTGTAGAAAAGATTTATGAAGGTTTCTGTATACAAAACTTAACATACTTATTATATTCACTCGTGTTTTATAATATTTAAAGTCAATTTATGTATCATTATTCAATGGATTGATTCAAAATCCATCTAATTAATTTCATAATTCCCATTATTTTCCTTTATTTGAAATAAAAAAGGAAAAAGTACATGAATAAAAGACTAGCTAGGTTGTAGCAAGTTTTTCAATGGTAGTGATATTAAGAACTATTTGGATAAATAATTTGATTAAATACTTATTTAAAACTGTATATCATATAAATGTTTATATATATATATAAGTTATTTCTATAATTATAATTAAAGAAAAATAAGATTAAGCAATTGTCACATAAACTATAATTTATTTTCGTACAATTATTAAAAATAGTTTATTAAAATAAGTTATTAAAAACAATTTATGGACAAATTAAAAGTTATTTTAATATTTTTATTCAAATACTTAGGTCAAACATATATTCAAATAAAATGTAAATAGATTCTTTGAAATGTGCATGTATTTAAAAGTTTTAGAATATTAAATTTAAATATAATTTAATCCTATAAAATTAACTTATAAGATTATTTTATGTGAGATTTAGATTTTTTTTACTAATTAAAAAATGTGAGTACATAAAAATAAAATAAAACAGTGTTTGCTGTTTTTAAATTTATTTTATACGAATGAGCAGTGATTATAAATTAAATGCAAGTTTCATGAGTGATGAATCAGTGAAGAAGAAGAAAAGTGAAAGAGAAGTGAATAGGAAACGGAAAGAAACAGTTGGACAAGAGGTCAACAAGTGAAATGATGAGTTTTGCGGGATGGTGGAGATTGTCTTGTCAGATTTGAATCCCCTTGCTCCATAATCCAAATGCAGTGACAAAAGCTGGAACAAGACAAAATCGTGACAGAGACGATAGCATTGTTCTCGTTCCTAAGTCGCAGACCGCGAAAGAAAGTGAGTGAGAGAATTCTTATCTAAGAAGAATAAGGAAACGTTATCTTTGTTTATTGTGCCGTGATGTCTCATAGTGGTTTGCATGTCTTGGACAAGTTTAATATTTGTATTGATAATGTACTTCAAGTTCTGCACATACAAGACATGACACGTACATATTGGTATTATATAAAATTTTTATTATCAATTTTAGTTGGTATAAGGAGTAGTATTAAATTTGTGGTTCTAATAATTTTAGACATATAACAAAATATGTTATGAGAGAAATATATATTTATAATTTTCAATAAAAGTTAGTCACAATTTTAAATACTTCGTATTAGTATTACGATTATTAAATATATATATATATATATATATATAACATCTATTTTATATTTATATATAGTATGGAAAATTTTAATAAAATCAAAAATAACAAATTATAAAAAGATTAAGAAAACCAGAATTTTGGTGGTGTTTATGTTGTGGTCATACCCATGATTGCTTGCTTTTGGCTAGTGGGGGAAGTGATTCAAGATAGTGGGACCAGAAATTTGGATGTAAGAATCATGAGAAATATTAGTAAACAGAGTTTCTGGTATAGTTAAATGCATATGTACGTCATGAGCTTCTTGCAGTTTTGTAAGTTGTAAAATGACAGTTTGAGTCACCAGCAGAGTTCAACAAAAAAGTTTCTATATCTGCAACTATCACGTTAATCATGTGACATGATATTTTCATGGTGATTTCTTTATCAAAATTGTAATATTTACAATGCATAAAAACTGTGGACGATCCACATTCAGATTAGGTTTAAGGTTCGATTTTATTTCTATTTTAATTTTCAGTCCAGAACAAGATTTGGTATTTATATCAGTATTTGATCGTTTGGTGGGGTAAGAAGGGCCATCTGTAATCATCTACCAAAGAAAAAATAAGAAGTCGTAAATCGTACTATAACAATAACAAGAAAGCATCATTTAATGATCGATGATTATTAGGTCCACCAAATCAAATATTTCAATTTGCAACGATAGTTCTTTCAACCCGGCCACAACAATAAGTGATAAAGTACCGAAGTTATCAAAATAGAAAGTAAAGAATATGTAGCAATATGTTACTAATACTCTTTAGGATATTACACATTTGTTAGAAATTAGAATGCCTTTCTATAGCATAAAATGTTCAAAGAAAAAGGATTTCATCAATATACAGATTCGAAAAGTGGAGAAGAAAAACTAATGAGCAACCAGACATGCACTACAATTAACTATTGATGAACATAATGAGACGGTAAAAATACAGAATCATCGATTCTTTGGTTGTAGCATGTACAAGAAAATTCCACCTGCAACTGAAACATTGAGTGACTCGTATTCTCCAGCCATTGCAATGCTCACAAGCTCACATTCCTGCAGGGAATTTTCTGAAAGGCCACTTCCTTCACTGCCTAAAACCAAGCACAATGGTGTATCTGATATTGAATCACAGAAGCTTGGAGAAAGTAAACACACTGGCTTCACCAAACCTTCATGCTCTGGATGCCCAGCCAGCATCTTCATTTGAAATTCTTCTTTGAGAGACTCCAGATTACTCCAATTGCCAGAAACGACAGGGAGCTGAAAGGATGCACCTCGGCTAGCCCTTAGAGCTTTCTCATTGAATGGATCACAGCAGCCAGGAAGAAGGAAAACTCCATCCTGTCACATATAAAACTTATACCTTTAAATGAAAATTAAAAATGAGTTTTAATTTCTAATACTTAAAGGTGACATACTTTAATTTCTAAAGAATAATGAGGATATACAATGTTTAGAATATTTTTAGAGTATCTTAGATGATCTCTTTTTAGGACTGATTCCAATTCCATGAACATGATTTGTTTCTAATATGAATTAGGTATGGCAAAAAATAGGGACAAACACAATTATAGAATTGGAGTCACTGGTACATCACTCCTACACTCAAAACAAGAAAATAGAAATAGTAAACTGGAACTTCAAGTCTGCAAATCTCCACCAAAGACTGGATTTCTTCCCCCCTACCTTTTCCTCCCTATTTTTAATCTTTGCTTTTAAGCCTTTCCGCTTCCTTGCTATGTAGGAAATGTTGATACAACATAAATCACTCTTTTGCCCCTTGCTTGATGGATTTCTTCTCACAATAAAAGTAGGTCCAGGTTCACAAAAAATGCATAACCAGTCAAGCTGATCTCATCAGCCCTGATATGTTTTAGTAGCCAACTTCGTATTGTCCCAATTCCCGAATATGTCTTCACTTACATCGATGTCTTTGATTGAAACTTGGTATCTTTACTGAAAAGAACAGGGAATTCTCCCTGGATTACAATTCCTAACTTGCAGGACTTAGAGCTCAGGGTCTACAATGCCCCTAATTAACTAACTATTCCACTGCGTTGGAAATTCACCTTAATTGCGGACTCAAGGGTAGTATTAATCATATATGACTTAAATAGAGCTTATAAACATAGGGTAATCCTCATCTCCCAAGTCATTTTTATGGAGTTAAGCCCTAAGCCTAAATTCTAAGATGACATCAAAGTCTATCTTAGATCCACTGTAGGGCCACTTGCATTTGCCATGCTCCAGGCCAGTATCTCTAGGTGTGGGGCAAGTGTTGGAAACCCGCCTTAATTGCGGCTACCCCTAGCCTACCTTAGTTTTGCACTCGTTAGTGCTGCAAAATCATGTGGTTCACAGCACTATAGAAGTCAACGTACCCGTCACATGTAAATACAATGCTATCTGAAAATGGGGCTGCAGCACAAAGCTCTGCTGCGATCGTGGAGCCATAGCACAAAATTAATAATGTCTCACATAAATATACCAAAGAGGAAATTATTTAATCTCTTTAGTCTTCTCCTCTTTCTCTAACTAAATCCTTATAGTTTCGAGATGGTTCTCAAGCCAAAGAATTTGTTTGATGATTACATTACAAAACAGAAATTATGAGTAAACAGAGTTCTCAAAGTGAGGGAAGAAGGGGAAAATAGTACATCAGTCATTACTACATTTTTACAGAGGAAGCTCCTATTGAGGAGAAAATGAAGTTGTAAGTTTATATTATCTGACTGTTAATGCCAACAGATGTTTACATCAACAATTTAAACAAATGATGAATTAAAACCAAAGAAAATCCAGGTTTGTTTGAAATGTGAAACTACAAAGAAAATCCAGGTTTGTTTGAAATGTGAAACTACAAAGAAAATCCAGTCCATTAACAACCAATTAAAACTGGTCAATACTCAACAAATGACAAGATTAGAAGGCAAGTATATATTAGTGAAACAGTTGGAAACATATATATATATATTAGGCAAGTATATATCAGGAACTCTTAAATGACAAGATTAAATTCACTGACACCAATTAAAATCGAACGTACGAATCAGATTCAATATATATAAAACATGGTTGGAAAAGCACATACAGATATCAGTATAATGATAAGAAAACAGTGCTCCCTGACCCCTTGCACAGCACATGGGGGAGGAGGAGGATAATTCCTTACCCATCTGAAGGCCAAAGCAGATCTGAGCAATGTACCAAGGTTTCCAGGATCCTGCAGAGAACAATTATAAAATATCAGTTATGGCACATGAAGTTTCTTAAACCAACAAAATTTTCATGAATATTCTACTTCATTGACATGCATTCCCATATCTTATATGTAGGATGAGGAGAAGCAAGGGAAGGGTGGGGAAGATTATGAGCTTCTTTTGAGTAACATGAACTTGGAATTTTATTTTATTTTTTTGTCGCGAGAATACAGACTATAGTTTAGAGGACCAGTTGAAACTGTCCAGTGCATGATTCAAGATGGGACAACCTAGTTCAATTCAGCAATTAATTTCTTGATGAAAACTCGGTAATTCAATTTAATCATGTGGGGTATCCAATAACATGTATATAAGCCCTACATTAATCAGAAGCTAACAAAATGGCCATGACCATGTTAAAATACAAAATCAGAAGAACTTTTGAAAACTTCTCTACTGAATGAAAAAAAAAAAAAAAACTTTATTTCAATAAAGAAACTCTAAAATGTTCTTATAAGCTTGTATACAAATAAACTCTACAAAGAGTAAGCGACAATATTGACCAAACAAAGGTCAAATCAGGGCTGTAGTGCCACCGTTCACTGGAGAAATTAACTTATTATACAATATGAGGCAAAAACTCACAAACCCAAATGGTAAAATCAAAGAAATGACATTTTGTGTCACCTGAATCCCATCAAGGACCAAAATCCTATGAGCAGTTGGAAACCACTTTTGCCAGTTCTTTTGATCACTATCAACATTGAAAAAACTGGCAGGAATTTTCATAAGGGCAATCGCATCAAGAGAGTCAGTGGTTTGGAGCCCCGAAAGCTTTTTCATCACTACGGAGCTCACACGCACAATAGAAGCAGTGCATTTATCCAACCCATCAGGAATTTCAGCTTTATCGGGAAGAACTAAACAATCCATTAAAACACTTCCATCTTGCAATGACTCTCGAAACCTGCATATTTCTCTGCAAATAACAAATACCATAAAAGGGTCAAAGGCTAACTCACTGCCAAGTGCCGAAGTACCTCAAAACATCACCAAAAAAAAAAAAAAAAAACTGAAAGAAAGGAAGAGGAGAAGGCACGGAACCTGATAGGGGTAGCCCCAACAACGAGAGCAGAAGCGTGGGAGCGGCGATAGGAAGAGCAGTTGCGGAGCTTGAGGCAGTGCTTCACAAAAGGGTTAGAAGCACTGGTTATTAGCTTCGGTTTTTCGTCGTGAGAGGTTCGTTCTTGTTGTGGCGGTTGTGTCACCGAAAGACTTGGCTTATGACACCATATTTTATGTGTCTGAGGATATAAAATGGAAGCACATTGCATTTCTGCCTTATTCCGTTGCTGCCAATGGCTACGCTTACGATATTGTGCTCCCAGTGTGAAGCTTAAATTTTGGGGAAAAGTAATCAAATTAAACAATTTGTAGGATATGGTACCCAAAAAAAATAAGATTGTCAGAAATTAAAAAAATTTCGTGATAATTAAAAAAAAAAAATCGTGATGTAATTTACTTGTTTATTTATTTATTGATGTTATTTTTATTAAATGTCTTTAAATAGAGAGACATTTATTTATCATAATATAATTTTATTGGAATTAGTTAATTCATATAGGTAGTTATTTCTGTTTTGATGGATAAGAATCGTGTATTCTTGTATAAATAGTTTGTAATTCATTCTTCTAGTTAATGAAATAATACACAACCTTACATAGAAAATATTTCTCTCTTCAAACTCTTAATTACTCGCAGGTTTTTCATTAAGGTTGTTACTCTAATAATTTGGTACCAAGAGCGAGGCTCTTGATATTTAGGTGTAATTCTATGACTAATTTGAAGATGGTATCTCTATTAGGGAATATGCTAGATTCTCTTTCCATTTTAAATGGAAAGAACAACTATCGATGGTGTGTTCAAATGAAGGCAATCTTTTGATTTAAAGGTGTTACAGATATCATCAAAATGGGGGTTTAAGTACTCGGTGAAGCTCTAACAGAGGCACAGGAGGCAGCCTATCATGAGAGCAATAAGAAAGATAATAAGGCTCTATTCATTATTCATCAAAATGTTGATGCAGAAATCTTGGAGAAGATTCTTGGAGCAAATACTGTAAATGAGGCATGGGATATTCTTGCAAAGTCTTATTAAGGGTTGATAAATTGAAGAAGGTGAAGTTACAAACTCTAAGAAGGTGGCATAAACTTTCTCATATGAATGAGCAAGAAAGTGTGTCTATGTATTTCACTCGGATGTTGACTCTCACAAACCAGATGAAGAGTTATGGTGAAAAGATAGAAGATGCAGTCATAGTGGACAAGATCCTGAGAACTCTAACACCAAGATTTGATCACATTATAATTTGCAATTGAACAAGGACTAGGTCTTAAAGGGATGAAGGCAGAAGAGTTACGAGGGACTCTTGAAGCACAAGAGATAAGACTTGATGATTGAAATATGTTGAGATCATCAAATCAAGCTTTATAAGCTCAAATTTGCAAAGGGACTTCTTGTGAGCAAGGTAAAATCAAGAAGGGTAAGGGAAATTGGAAGAAATAAAAGAATAAAGGAGAGTAACTTTGCATCTAAACAGCATTAGAATTCTAAGTATAACAACAAGAAAGTGGGGCACAACAAAGAAGAAAAAAAGAAGTTTGACAAATGATCAATCCAATGCTACAATTGCCAAAAGTTTGGTCACTTTGCAAAATATTTCAAAGGCAAGAAGGTGCCAAGGAGTTTCTATGAAGCACAATTAGCACATGATGAAGATTCTGACTCAAATAAAGTGTTGTTGATGGCAACAACCAATGCTGGAGAGGAGAATGTGAATATGTGGTATCTAGACACAAGGTGTTCTGATCATATGATTGGACACAAGAAGTTGTTTGTTTCCATTAATGAAAAGGTGGAGAACAAAATTAAATTTGTAGACAACAATTTTATGAGTGTAGAAGGCATTAGTAAGGTTATGATACAAAGAAAGGATGGCTACCAAACTCTCATCAATGATGTTCTCTATGTTCCTAACATGAAAAATAATCTCTTGATCTTGGATAGCCTCCCTAAGATATGGGAACCCAAAGTCATAGCTATTTCAGAAGCACATAATATTAAAGTTCTCACTCTTGATGAACTTCTTTGAGCTCTAGGAGTTCATGAGGTTCATTTGAATAGTAAAGATCACTCTAAAACAAATGACATTATTGGTTTAAAGAGTGGTGAGACCAGCAAGTAAAAAAGAAAAAGGGAAAGCATTGAAGGCAGAATCTGAGCCTAACAACTGAAATGATGGTTTTGAGGACTCCACAAATGATGAGATATCTCTCATGTCTAAAAAGTTCAAGGACATGATAAAGAAGAAAGGAAGATTAAGAAACTTCCATAGAAATAAGGACAAGTTTAGAAAACCCAATCAAATTGACGATAAAAAAGTTGTTTGTTGTGAGTGCAAGAAGCTAAGTCACAGGAAGATTGATTGCCCTTCCCAAAAGAAGAAGAGGTACTCCAAAAAGAAGGCTAAGAAGAGTCTGATGGCCGCCTAGGAAGATTTGGACATAGTGGAAGCAACAATTCAAAAGATGAGAAGGCCAACATATGCCTCATGGTAGACTTTAAGTCAGATGCTACAAATATAAAGGTAAAATCTGACTCTAGCTTTTATTCATCTGAATTCGATGATGATGAGACGTCCTATGAGACCCTCCTAATAACAAACTTTCACATGATCTCTCTTGAGTACAAGAAACTTAAAGAAAAAAAAAAGATCTTGGAAAAAGAAAATATTGAACTCAAAAAGAAAATATCAGATGTTGTAGGAGGTCTCTCAAGGATAAGATCACTAGCTTAGCCCTACTTGAGATTAAATTATAAAAAGATTAAGAAAACCAGAATTTTGGTGGTGTTTATGTTGTGGTCATACCCATGATTGCTTGCTTTTGGCTAGTGGGGGAAGTGATTCAAGATAGTGGGACCAGAAATTTGGATGTAAGAATCATGAGAAATATTAGTAAACAGAGTTTCTGGTATAGTTAAATGCATATGTACGTCATGAGCTTCTTGCAGTTTTGTAAGTTGTAAAATGACAGTTTGAGTCACCAGCAGAGTTCAACAAAAAAGTTTCTATATCTGCAACTATCACGTTAATCATGTGACTTCATGTCATGTTTGTAATATATATCAGACAACTCTTTTTCTTATTTTCTATATTTTTCTATTACCGTGACTCATGAGTTATTCAACCCACATATATATATATAGAAACAAATTGACAATTACAGAAGAATTTATAATTTTACTTGATCAGTGAGTCTATGTATACTTAATTCATCACCAATATTTATGAGAAATGATAATGATAGTTATGAAACAAATTTATTCATCATTTTATTGAAAGAAAAAAGATGTGTGACAATTAAGATAAATAATCCAATAGAGAGAATAATATTATAAAATATATATTTATGAAAAATATAAATCACATATTTATTAGAAATTAAAGCTTGCAATAACTGTATTCCTTATAATAGATATATAAAAAAATCTAACACATAGTATTATTACTAAATTAAATTTAAGTGCATTTAATTTATGATAACTAAAAAATATGAAATTGAGTTAAGTCTATTTGTTTTAAGTTTACAAGAAATTTAAAAAAACATATTAATATAGGGGAAAGAAATTTTTAATTAAAAAATAAGGGTATTGTTTATAGGAGAAAAAATTACCTATACATGCAGATTTACATTACTGTGATATATGGGTAATAGAGTGAAAATAAGTTAGTGAGAATAAGTTTATTTGTTTGATCGGTATGAAATAGAGAGAGAATAAATTAAAAAAGAATAGTTCTCACCTCAATTTTTTTTTTCTTCTGACATGCTTGACAAAATTGGAATAGACGAGAATTTCTTCTTGTGTAGTATTTGAAGAGCAGTTTTCGAAACTGCCTTTGTCTCATATAGGTATGGGAATAATAAGTTATGTTATGTAGATTTTGAATATATAGATTAATTGTGTTTTATAAAATTAATTTAAATTTGATCTATTATTTATATAAACTTATTTTTAAGGTTTGTCTTGACTTTTCAAAAAGTTTGTTATGATTTGTAACTTATTTCGTATTAATGACATTAAATAGGTTAATAATTTTAATTTTATATAAATTAATAATTTTATTTTTAAATATATGTATGTTTTTTTTTAAAAAAATATTATAAAATAGTAATTTATTTTATTATTATTAAAATTTAGAGTTTAAAATAAAAATAAATGATTAATTGAGGGACGTACTTATGAATACTCATGTACACTATTATACATTAACGCATGAACTATAATGAAAGAAAATAATCTTATAAAAAAAGACTTTTTAAATATTCTTTATATATCATTTGAAGTATTAAATAGCTAATCATGAAAATACATGATTGTGCGAGTTTTTATTTTCGATTTCTTGACTTCGTATGAGAACGGCCCGTTCTGGACCCTTAACTCACGACTAAAAACCATATCCAGAACGGCCCGTTCTCAAACCATAACGGCCCGTTCTGGGGTGCATTTAATACTCACAACGGTCATATTTTGGAACGGCCCGTTCTCAACTCTGGAACGGCCCGTTCTCAATTTAGGAACGCCCTGTTCCAATTTGGGAACGTCCCGTTCCCATCTAAAATTTGTAGCTGATTTTTGTATTTTGGAACGGCCTGTTCCAGTTTGGGAACGGCTCGTTCTGGGATACAAAATCACTCTCGTTTTAGTCATTTGGAACGGCCCGTTCCGATTTGGGAACGGCCCGTTCTGGGCTACTAAAACACCCTTGCGAATTACTAAATTACCCTTATTGAGCTTCTGGGCCCTCGTCCATTCTATGAAAATTGGGTTGTTACAACAACATTGGAGGTTGAACCTACAACTCAATAAAGACTTAGCCAAATTTGTTGATGAATCTTCTAAGTTAAACATGTTTTTATAGCATAGAAGACTTTCATCTAAAAAAAGTGGTCTTGGTTTTGATCCTAATTCAGGGACATCTCAAGCCAAACCTAAGCTCTCTCTTTGTAAAGCTAGTGGAAATGGAGATAAAGCTCTAGGTAGACAGAAAGTACGACCAAGGGCATGGGGACTAATAGAAAAGACCCAAAAAAATTTGGGTACCAAAATCTCTAATAATATCTATTGTAGATATCCTTAATGGGAAGAAAAAAAATCCAAACCAGTACTTAGAAAGTGGCTGCTAACAACACATGACATCATAAAGGTCTATGTTCTTAGACCTCCAATCACATGAAGGATTAGTCTCCTTTGGAAGTGGAAAAGGCAAAATCAAAGGTATAGGTAAGATAGGTAAAAACTTTATACCTACTGTAAATAATGTTTTATGT